GGGTTTGTATTTATTAGGGGGGGGGGGGTGGAGGGACAGAGGGTACAACAAAAGAACTCACCCAGCACCACCCTGTAGTCCTCGGCGTCTAGGTGGAGCACCCAGGTGTTGGTGGTCTTGGAGCGGTTCTCCATGTACTTCTTCAGACTCTTGCCGTTCACCTCCAGCGTGTACTCGTAGGCGAAGCCGCTGACGGCGTCAATGTTGATGGTGGCTTTGGTCTGAGCCGCGCCCACTGGAAACGTCTCCTTCCCCACCAGTTTAAACATCCAATCCTTCCGGATAATCTCCTGACACCCAGAGACAGAACAATCAATGGCGGCGCATGGCCCCCCCCTCCCCCCGTGTCTGCGACTCTGTGACACAGACTACACATCATAGAGTGAAGCTGAGGAGCATTGCATCATGGGAAATGCTTCATTCACTCTGCCACTGTGAGGGGGTATTACAGAGGGTCAGGTCCTATCAGTGACTGGCCCATGAGGAATCCTAACACAACCGTATCACACACCCTGTAGGGGCCGCTCTGCTCTCCACCAATCACCAGGAGGAGTCACAGGTAGACAATGGAACATTCCTCTAAGCTGTTTCCGTGTTTATTTGCCATTATCTCAGACAGCGGAATGCATCTTCATGTCTCACGGACGTCACAAATCCCCCAAAATAGAATGTTTATTCTTCATCAGGATAGTGGGCGGAGTCACATGATTCCTTGTGGAGCCAGAACCCATTGTTCCCCATATACTGATGATGGCCAACGAGACAGAAACAGCTTTATGTAGTTTGGAATAAAAGACTCTTTTGGGTTGTACCGGAGCTAGAATACAAGTGGCTCGGGATGTACCGCGAGGGCCGCCCCTGTAATGTCTCTGCCGCCATTTCTAGGGGTCACTTGGAGGGGTGGGGGCAAGCCCCGCCAGAGCGTCCCAGGTTCCTAAGAGCCGGGTGGGGAAATGTTGAAGGGCCACCATATACATCTCCCCTGCCAGCTCCTAGCAACCTGGGATGCTCTGGCCCGCTCAGCTCCTAGCAACCAGTGATGTCACTGAGCTTGGCGGGATACCGGCCAGAGCTGGGTGGTGCACCACCAGGACGCTGGCCAGAGAGCGCTGTTAGCATGCACACCAATTCCCCCATA